ATGATCTGGTTGAACTGGAAAGTGCCTTGAGATGACATGTGTTGTGAATTTGGCGCCATAGAAATAAACTGAATTGAATTGAAAATTTCCAGATTCATTTCATAATTTTGTAATAAATCATTCCTTTTGCCTAAAACACGTGTGTTAATTACTAAGTAGATGTCTTTTAGATAGATTTCAAACCATTTACATTGAACTTTTATTATAAAATAGGAGTAAGAATTTATTGAACGCACCACTAAAGTATTTTATATTGTTATGATAGCGGCAAAAAAACAGGCCCTATTCCGCTGTAGAGCAACACCCAGGCAGCCTGACTTGTTTAGAAATGTTAAATCAATAAAGTTTTTTTTTATAGTTTTACTCATTAACTGAAAAAACAATCAATGGATTAATCAATTACTAAAACAATCAATAGCTGCACACCTTCTATAGAATATATATATATACATAGGAATGATAATCAGGAGGGAGCGGTGTTTGCTTAAAGTGGAACTGGTGCCGATCGGGTCACTGAGACAGACTGAGCTGCTTGTCTGTCAGCAGGGTGGCGTTTGGAAGCGAAACATGATCCTTTAATTCACTGTTTTTTAAACAGCCTCTTTAGATTTTGTGCATGATAGACGTCTGTGTTGCTTCCGCTCTGCATTGAAGGACAGTTCTGACTCGCTTCTGTTCACAAGTCCAGAGGAACTGAACTTTGGAAAATGAGCTGAAAATATTTCCAGATAACAAAGGATATTTCTGTACTATAAACTGTTTACAGTTTAAATACACTACTTCCTGTTGGTATGACAATACACAAAGGTAACTCAACTACCGTACTTCTCCGTTCATCTATGATTCTTGGTTTACAGATTAAAGATTTTATTATTCTTGATGCAATTCCAACAATTATATCTAAAATATATTTTCTATGCACCGGCTTTCTTTTTGTATGGATCTCTCTGCATAAATTACAAGTTTTAAACATGCGTTGCTTAAGAAAGTAGCAGCTGAACATTTTCCAATTTTGTCAGATATTTTAGTGGGATTTTTTTACATAAAAACTTTGTTTATAACATGAGATTTCTTACAAATCTCTGTCACTAAAATTGCAACCAGAAATTCTTTCCAGCATCCCAGAGAAAATGTTTTGAAGAACCATCTTTTTTTTTTTTTTACAAACTCCTAAAAACGGTAACGCTTTCTGTTACAGTACATCAATAACCATGTAATAACATGGAAATAACACGGCTAGTTAAACTTTATTACTAGGTATACAAAAAAAAACTTAATAGAGAATTTTGGTGAGTGCTTTTAGGCAGACAAGGTGAAGCCAGACTTCTTAGATTTTAAACATTTATTAGCAGGTAACTCAGTTATTTCACCGAAAGCCATAAATTAACGTGTTATTATCTTTTAAATGCAGTTTCTTACTTGTCATATAACACAAAACCAATCCTAGAGGACAGCAAGCCAATCTTCTTAACTAAACTCCTATTTTCAGTTGAGTTCAGTTTTATAATGCTTTATTTACATGATGATAAGTTATAATTTACTGTAGTTTAGTGTACTGTAGGTTGTGGCCAATAATAGAAACTGTTATGTTGTACACTGAAAAAAAAAAGCATTTTTTTTTTTTTTTGCTTAAGCATATTTGGTTACTTTAACACAATTGTTTTACGTCCTATTCTGTTAATATGGAACAATTGTGTTAAAGTAACTAAATATGATTAAGTAAATGCCAAAAACGGTTGCAATCTTTTTTTCAGTGTAACCTATTGGTAATAACCCACCAAATGTGTCCATTGTTACTTAGTAAAATAAAATTGTAATAATTACATGCAGGTAACTTCTTTGCAATTATGCATCTTTATTTTTGGGTAATTTCCAAACAAAGTTTTTCTTGTTACCAAGTGATATAATGTTACTTGCTGTGTTATTACCATATTATTACATGGTTATTGATGTACTGTAAAAGAAAGTGTTACCCTAAAAAATACAGTATGGCCACAAATCTAGAAACTATATACTTCCCTTGCAAAGTAGATCAAACGTAAGCAGACACCGTCTCCAGATGTTTGCAGCTTTTAACACTTGAATCATTTCCCTACATGTAATTCCAACCATCATCTCATCAAATCTGTCTAATTTTTCTTCTCCAGCTGAAAAGAAGCCCTCAGCACAATGCTGCCAACATTGTGCTTCATAGTGGGATTGGTTTGAGCAATGCTGCTCCCACCCCGAAAAGCATTTCACATGTAAAAAAACAGCTATATCTTGCTGTCATTAGATCAGAAAAGCTTTCATGTTTACTGAATCGCCTACATTGGTTGCTAAGCTGCAAGTGTGACTTTCTGTCAACACAGGCTTCCATCTTTTTATAACTAATGAGCAGTCCTGCTTCCACCTGAGTTACCTGGATACCTTCCAGAATTGCTTCAATTAAAATTACGTCTCACCAAAAATTAATTACTTAGTTTCAATGATCCCATTCAAAACATCCCAAACATGATTTAAATCTTTAAATTCTACCATTAATTACTAAATTCTTCTGGATAGGTAAGCCTCCACAAAATGCTGCAGAAGATCAAAGGCAAAGGAGGATTAGATGAGTTTAACTTATATCATTACTGCCTAGCATATAGGCTAAAATACATCCCAAAATAAGTCACAGCTGGATGCAGAACAGACTCTATCAGCTACTATTTAGATTGCAGACCAACTATTAGCTTAAACATAAAACAGCAGGATTGTTTTAAAAGCATAAAGATCAGCTTCTCACTAACAGCTTGGACAGTGTCCCACTATCCCCATGTAATATATATATATATGTATATATATTTTCTGATTATATTAGCAAAGAAAACAGGAGAATAACTTTATCTTATTCAGTATCTTCTTTGCTGATTAATGGGATTTTAGTAAAGAAATTATTTGAAAATCAACTGATTTAATCGATAATAAAAAAAAACGATTCAAACTTAATGAAGCTATTTTGCAAATGCCAGCAAATACACTAATAATTAATTCTAATAATAATAATAATTCAAAACCTAAACCCTTAGGATATAGAGGGTAGATGGTCAAAAATAGATGAGTCATTATCCCTCCCCATTCAAAAAGGAAACTGATCCAACAGTTGATGCTTTGATCAGAACTGCTGACCTCAGATTTTTTACTATAAAGCTCTTAACTCCTTCTCTAATTATTTCCCCCTTTCTGCTCTTTCAGTTTTGTTAGATAGCAGCAATTATGGTACCACAGCGTAAATTGTAATATGTTTAAAGCTGTGGATGCAGCAAAATATTTATAAAAGTTCAAAGTTGTGTGAATAGTTTTGCAACTGTAAAGACGGATGCACACGTCATGGATGGCTGAAGTTTAGCATTAAAGCCGTGACGTGTTTCCCACGGTTTGCTCCATTGTGCAGGGAGGATATCCCAAAGACTTCCTCATGTGTGACCGGAGGTAAAGCAGCGCTGCTCTTCCTCACATGAACCTCATCACTCGCTTTTTTTTTTCTTTTTCCTCTGCCAAACCAATAAAGGACTTTATTACAATCAGCAGAGCCTTTCTCTTTCTTGGCAGCATGGCCGCCGTACCTTGAGTCATGATGGTAGTCCCTGAGAAGTGCTCACTTGTTCCTCCAAGACCGTACGGCGGCTCCCTCCAAAGAGCATCCAGCTCAGCGGGAGAGATGTCTGCAAAACAGAAGAGCATCAGTAGGCGAACACATGGAGAAAATAAAATGGGAGTCCCTCCTATTGTCAATTTATATGACAGATAACCTAAAAATGCATCTTTTGGTAGTTTGAGCTGGGAGGGATTACAGTAGGCGGCTTTTGGCTGCCCCCACTACTACAGCACATGTGTACAGTAAACATGAAGCCAACAGCCAGTAAAGAAAGGAAATAGATTAACTCTTTATAGAGCAAGTTAGTGTTTTTGGTCACCTGCAAAAAATGGAAATCTAAGTAAGTCTTTTGTTTCTTTAAAATAAGTGCATTTTTTCTCCAATTGAAGACAAAAGTGAAACACTTTGCCAATGGAACAAGACAATTTCCATTTAAAATAAGAAAAAACAATTGCATTGTCTTATTTCACGTCCATATTATCTTATTTTAAGTGTAAATATACTAATTTCATTGGCAAATCATTGTATTAACCTACTCAAATTAAGGGTAAATACGCTTGATTTAAGAAATTGTTACTTATTTTTCTAGATCGTTTTTGCAGTGCCCCGTACAAATGGAGTCAGTGAGGTCTAGAAGCACTAGATCTATATCCAGACATTCAGCAAAGATGCTGCTACATGGCTCTACATCTTATTTTTGCATTTGACCAATTAGATGAGCCCTTGAATGAAATATTACCTACTAAAAATTAAGTAAACAAGTCAAGAAAAACAGGTTAAAAGCTTAATGAAAAGTTTAAAATAAAGTAAAAAAGTTAATAAGCCTCGTTAAAAATTATATTTAAGTTTATAAACTAAAAAATATAAGTGCCAGTATCAGCATTAATGCCTCTATGGTTATGTTGTACCAAAAAAAAATGTGTTTCCTTCACTCTCAGAATAAATTTTAATTAATTTCTTATAGAAGCACTTATTATTATTTATTCTTATTTTTCTTAATATATTCTGTCTAGTTGGCGTTTCTTTTTTATTACATTGAAATAAATTTTTGGCATCACAATATCCATATTATTTTAACGTTACAAAGGTAATAAGGTCTTGTCCTGGATTCCAATGACATTATTGGATTGAAATTTTGACCAATAAAGGGTTAAACAGAATTAGCTTCAAAGTTCAATGGCATGTTTAGCTTTTATAGCTGCTGATATAAAGCAGCTAAAATTTCTCATGGTTAGAAACCATTAAAGATTTTATGAATACTTTTTGCTCTTTATAATTAAGTTTTATAATAAAGGTTCATAATGAGACAGACTGGGTCTAAAGCGGGGCGTACGCTGTACAATTTATTCCAACCGTAGCATGCAGCTACGGCTCAGGCTGTA